TGACACAAGAATTTAAGAATAAATAGATTTGATGGACACTGACCAATAATGTAATTGGCCAGAAAGCTACTAACCAATTGGAAAAACACATGAGGTCTGTAAAACTACATAAAAAGGAGTTATGTGAATAAAGAATAGTTTTTTTCCTGCGTGAAGAAAATGGAGTCTTGATAGCAAAACACCCCAGATGTGCGCGCACAAGCACCTCATACCTCAACCACCCCACGCTTTGGGGGTGTGAGCTCTGCCCAGCCCCTTCCCCAACCCCTTGCAGGCCGGGCTGTCCCCCCAGGGTGAAGCAATGACAATACTTACGCACACAGACAGGCGTTTTCCCGGACCAGCGGTGGTCCTGCTGGCAGATGCGCACGGACATGCCGATGAGGCGGAAGCCGGGCTGGCACTGGTACACCACGCTGCCACGGTAGTTGTAGTTCTCCCCGTTGATCTGCCCGTTCACAATGGGGCTGGGCACGCCACAGTGCCCCGCTGGAGGGGACAGAACAGCAGCAATCAGCTGGAGAGCCCAGCAGGGGTGTCCCCAAAGGGCATCGGGGGGATCTCTGCGGGATTGGGGTGAGGAGAAGCCCAGACTGGTTTGGGTTGGAAGGGAATGCAAGGGTTGTTCACAGGGACACCTCCTACCATGCCATGTCCGACCTCTCCTTGGATTCTTCCAGGGATGGGGCAGCTACAGATTCTCTGGGCATGCATGGGGTTTGGAGATGCCCAGACTGGTTTGGGTTGGTCTACAGGGACATCTTCCACCATACCATGTCCAAGCTCTCCTTGGACTCTTCCAGGGATGGAGCAGCCACAGCTTCTCTGAGCATGGATGGTGTTCACAATGCCCAGACTGGTTTGGGTTGGAAGGGAATGCAAGGGTTGTCCATAGGGACACCTCCTACCATGCCATGTCCAACCTCTCCTTGGACTCTTCCAGGGATAGGGCAGCTACAGATTCTCTGGGCATGCGTTTGGAGACGCCCAGACTGGTTTGGGTTGGTCTACAGGGGCATCTTCCACCATGCCATGTCCAACCTCTCCTTGGACACTTCCAGGGATGGGGCAGCCACAGCTTCTCTGGGCATGGATGGTGTTCACAATGCCCAGACTGGTTTGGGTTGGAAGGGAATGCAAGAATTGTCCAAGCCAGGTCACCCTGTCCAGCCTCTCCTTGGACACTGCCAGGGATGGGGCAGCCACAGCTTCTCTGGGCATGGATGGGGTTTGGAGATGCCCAGATTGGTTTGGGTTGGATGGGAATGTAAGGGTCATTCATAGGGACACCTTCCACCATCCTTGGTCACCCTGTCCAACCTCTCCTTGGACACCTCCAGGGATGNAAAATGACACAGGGAAAATGGCACCCAGGAAAATGGCACATGGGAATGGCACACAGGGAAATGGCACAGGGAAAATGACACAGGGAAAATGGCACAGGGAAAGTGGCACAGGGAAAATGGCACCCAGGAAAATGGCACACGGGAATGGCACAGGGAAATGGCACAGGGAAATGACACAGGGAAAATGGCACATGGGAAATGGAACACGGGAAATACCACATGGGAATGGCACAGGGAAATGGCACATGGGAAAATGACACATGGAAAATGGCACACGGGAAAATGGCACAAAGGAAATGGCACATGGGAATGGCACAGGGAAAATGGCACAGGGAAAATGGCACAGGGAAAATGGCACAGGGAAATGGCACAGGGGAAATGGCACAAAGGAAATGGCACCCAGGAAATGGCACCCAGGAAAATGGCACACAGGAAATGGCACAGGGAAATGGCACAGGGAAAATGACATAGGGAAAATGACACAGGGAAAATGGCACAGGGAAATGACACAGGGAAATGGCACAGGGAAAATGGCGCACGGAAAATGGCACATGGGAAATGGAACATGGGAATGGCACAGGGAAAATGACACAGGGAAATGGCACAGGGAAAATGGTACATGGGAAATGGAACACAGGAAATACCATGCGGGAAATGGCACAGGGAAAATGGCACACAGGAAAATGGCACACGGGAAATGGCACAGGGAAAATGGCACACAGGGAAATGGCACAGGGAAAATGACACAGGGAAAATGGCACAGGGAAAATGGCACACAGGAAATGGCACATGGGAAATGGCACACGGGAAATGGCACAGGGAAAATGGCACAAAGGAAATGCCACATGGGAAATGGCACAGGGAAATGGCACAGGGAAAATGGCACAGGGGAAATGGAATACGGGAAATACCACATGGGAATGGCACAGGGAAAATGGCACAGGGAAAATGGCACATGGGAAATGGCACAAAGGAAATGGCACAGGGAAATGGCACAGGGAAATTGCACAGGGAAATGGCACAGGGAAAATGGCACAGGGAAAATGGCACAGGGAAAATGGCACAAAGGAAATGGCACATGGGAATGGCACATGGGAATGGCACAGGGAAATGGCACAGGAAAAATGGCACCCAGGAAAATGGCACACGGGAATGGCACAGGGAAATGGCACAAGGAAATGGCACAGGGAAATGGCACAGGGAAAATGGCACAGGGAAAATGGCACACGGGAATGGCACAGGGAAATGGCACAGGGAAAATGGCACACGGGAAAATGGTACATGGGAAATGGCACAGGGAAAATGGCACACGGGAATGGCACACGGGAAATGGCACATGGAAAATGGCACAGGGAAATGGCACATGGGAAATGGCACAAAGGAAATGGCACACAGGAAATGGCACAGGGAAAATGGCACATGGGAAATGGCACATGGGAAATGGCACAGGGAAAATGGCACCCAGGAAAATGGCACATGGGAAATGGCACATGGGAAAATGGTACATGGAAAATGGCACAGGGAAAATGGCATGCAGGAAATGGCACACAGAGTTGGTTCAGTGAGGTTTTAACCCCCCCAAAAAAGTCCCAGTGTGGTGGGTTTTTAATGAGAAGTGTGTCATGGGCATGTTTTATGAAAAATCTTTTTGCCGGAATTTTTTTCTCCTGAGAAGCTGAGAGGCCTCAGAAATGAAATGTAAACAATGGTTATCTGCTGCTGTGGAATGCAACAGGTGATTGGT